TAACTTCTTAATATAGCCAGCCTCAGTAATGAAAAAAAAAAAGTTCGTTCTCGCGTTTTAAATGATTTAAAATACAAAGGTCGATCTTGGCTTTCCCTCACTCTCCGTCTGGTTTGACATTTGCTCACCGAGCTCCATTTTCAAATACCTCAACTGTCTCTCGGTTGTGTCTTTATGTCGTCTACACTGCCCTCTCCTCCTCAGCGCTACTAGGCATTGTGGGTAAACGGCTAGATTAGCCAATCAATCTTCTCCCGGGAACAGGGGCAGTAGTGGTTGTGGTGAGGGGAGGAGAGGAGGGGAGGAGGAGGGGGTCAGGGAGGAGATAGGAAAAGAGAGAGACAAAAAGAGGAGGAGGAAAGTCGGAGAGAAGGAGTGAGCGATAAGCAGAGTGAGATGAGAGAGGGGGGGCGGGTGAAGGAGAGAGTAAGAGATATAGTAAAGAGGGATGGGAGGAAAAAGAGGTGTGGGGAGAAATGGGAGAAAAGATGAGGGGGAGGGCAGAAAGATGCAGATGTGAGGCTGTCGCAGAGAAACCACAAGCTGCAAAGGAAACATGACGTGAAGAGGCTGAAGTTGCACAAAGTGCACGAGAGAAGAAGAAGAAGCCGGGAAGGAGCGTGAGAAAAGTGACAAATGTGGGCAGATGTGTAAAGAACAAGTGAAGAGAAAATAAGAGGAATCCATGAGAAAGAGCCTCAAAAATGTACAACAACATACCTGCAGACTGACACTGTGCACTCACAGTTGGCAGCACTGATTTAACACCGTACGTGCAAACACACTTGGCAATATTCCTTTACATGCTACGTAGCCATCTAGCTAAATCTCTGGATGCAAACATTTTTGTCGGGTGTTTCTTGATCGATCCAGGTTGAACACACCTATCAGCAGTGAGGAGTTCAAGCAAAGAGTGATGTTCCCAGTCATATTAAATCATTATAGTGAATGCACCTCATCTGAAATACATCCAGGAAATTATCAAACTTAGCAGAAATGCTACGAACAAACAGGTGATTGTGCAGCTCTACACTGAAATAAGATTTTACCCATTTTAAAAACACTAAAAAAAAAATCAATATGTTGTGGTCCATGTTGATATTATGTCAGGCCACCACTAATAAATCAATGTATGGGAAACACTGATGTGTCCGACAAGTCAGTGAACTGTTGGACTGATGGTGTCGAGCTGGAACATTTCAACACATCGCCCAACCCTAACTCACACACAGCACGAGCAACATATTTAAGAGCTGAGTCGACTGTTTATACCATCACTGTTACAAGTTGATTGGTTGATCCAGCATCTGGCTCAGTAGCGTGCTCAGTCATTTCTTTAGAGAAACCCAGAAAATGCTCGACAATCACATGAAAAATGCTTGAAAAGAAGTCAAAAAGTGTTGCTTAGAAGTAATCAAAACAGGACAGAAATCAGAATTTCCACAACTCTTGTGGGGCTTTAGCTTCTAATCAACACAGCAAATCAACTGATACGAAGCATGATGTTTGAATAATGTAACACACTGTATAATAATTAAAGCTGGATATACTATGCATGCCAGGTCAAATAAATACACCTCAGTAGAAGACACGCATGTAACACGCAGCAACTTAAACAGACACGAGCACCGATGCACTGATGAATGCACACAACTCAAAGCTTCTTCATGTTTCCACTTCAGCTGAACATCGTCCAATGAAAACACTTTTACAAACAATTACATAGTAAGAATCTGTATTTAAGAAACAGTGTTTAAGATATATTATGCCTCTGAGACCTCAATTAAAAGCTTGTATAAATAGATCAATTAAAAACACATCAAAATAATGATATGAATGTGTATTTCCTTCGACCTGTTCTCTAACACCCTGTGCGGCTGCCTTTTAGGTGAATTAGACAATTAAAGCAGCTGGATACTTGGTAGCAACGAGACAACCAAAACTATAGTAACTAACAATCACTGTATCACAACCCCTGCATTACTTCTACAACCAGTGTCCAGACATGTGGGGGATAAAAAGAAAAAAAAGTAGCCCTGACAGTAACCAAAAACCTTTGCTGTGTCTCTGCAGTGCACCCAGCGAGAGAGCTGTGATAATGTTTCTTAAATGCTGGCTTGCAATCTAGCAATCCTCAAAAGACGAAGAAACTCTTTTGAGGTAAGGTGAATTTTTTTTCTTTATTTTTTTTTTTCTTCTTCTTCCGATGCCTCTAACCGGCTCATTCTTTTGAAAACCAGTAGAAAGGACCTGTGCTCAGAGACTAGCCTCAGGGGGCTGGAGCCAAAATTAAACCGGTCCCGTCTCCTCCGCTTTATCACTGTTAGGAGCAGACAGCAAGCCACCATGTAGCACGCCCATCTACATTTATACACAGGGTTAACTGGAAGGAGGGTGTGAGCCCATCCACCCGCCTCCTATGGGCTGGTTGCCA